TCGATGACCTTTCAAGGTCCCTTCCAGTTCTAGGAGATGGGATATCTCCATTTATTTATTTATTTAAAATATGGCTACAGGAAAAGGCCTTATCCTTACAGTGCCACGGGCCCCAGAGCTCCAAGCCACAGTGGGTGGCAGAGGATCCAGAGCTCTCAGCTGCTGGCAGGTGGAGCTCTAAAGCATGGGGGGCGCAGCTCCCAGCCACCACAGGCAGCAGGGGACCCCAGAGTCACAGCACTGGTGAGGGCTGAACCCCTAATCCCATTTTGTCATAGTAATTTTTAGTAAGAGTCACAGACTCTTCCATGAATTTTTGCTTATTGCCCACAAACTCTCTGTGACTTTTACTAAAAATAACTGACAAAATCTTAGCCTTACTAATGAGAGACTTGGATGTGTAAACAGGGGAGTTGGCCTTGCTGAGATTGATACTGTGTACAGAGGGTTAGAAGGATTAGCTCTTTATCAGTCAATGTCAGTTTCATCATACACACATCAATGGATGGAAGACACATTTCCATCGATAATTGAAATTTACAGATAGGCAAAGGAAGAAAGAAGTTGCTTGAGAACTTATTAGAGTTTTGTTCAAGGATATTTACTCTGTATATTTTGGCATCTGATCTTGTAATTTGTGTTTTCACTCACTCACTCATGCCCGTCACCCCAATCGGGGTATGGGCCGCCAACCACAGATCTCCAGAGTCCTTTATCCTGGGCCATTTGCTCTAGCTGGTTCCAGGTATCTCCTCATCTCTGCTGCGACCTGTGCCGTCTTTCTTAACTCGTACATGGTCCTCACGTTCCATGTACCGATGGTAATCCTCCTCGTTGCAAGAAGGGTAATCAGCTTAGAGGCTTCCTCATGACTTTCACCACCCAGCGTCATGCGTCTTCGAGTTGAAGACCTTTCTTTTTCCAGGGTAAAAGTCTCTGTTATCTCTATTGTTGGCGTTTCTGTAGCAAGTTGATTTTTTACGGGGTGGAGTTGCTAGCCCCACGCCCAACCCTCCTCCTTTATCCTGACTTGGGACGGGCAGATGGCCCCAAAGGACCTCTCTGGTGGAGTTAATTTGTGTTTTAGCAGTTATAAACTTTAACTTTTTGAGTTTTAACATCTACTGTCATTAAATAATTGTTGCCTGATCTCTCCCACACACACTAAATTTTCATAGCTGCAGGAAATTGGAAATATATAAAAATATCAGGAAAAATGCTTAAAAATCATAATTCTTCACAACTGTGAACATTTAAATTGCTAAAAATGGGGGTAGCATGGGGCTGAATGCTGAAAAATAAACACCAATATTGTCCATTGAAATTATATATATAAAAATTCTACCACGCCTATGTATAAAGTTCTGGTGTTCACATGCCTTGCAATGAGCAGTGACTTGTTTAAAGTATATCATTACCTTCACTAAGAGAAACTATGTAACTTAAGTTGACTGTTACTGGCCTGCAGGAGCTGTCTCACAATGCCCCACACTGACCGCTCTGATTATGGTTGTGAACTCTGCTGCCCACAGCCCAGGGATCAGGTAGACAGGAAGCTGCCCCTTCTGTTTAAAGCCCTGTGAATTTTGGAAATTCCTGGTTGCCTGGCTTAGCAAGCACACCCAGCAACTGTCAGTTGTTGTGTGCAACTACCCAGCCGACCATGCCGGCTCCATGCTCCAGACATGATCCTGCCTGGAGCACACAGGAGATGCTGGATGCCCTGGGCCTATAGTGAGCAGAGCTATGCAAGCTCCGCTCCAAACCAGCTGTAAAAATGTGGACATCTATGAGCAGATCACTCAGGGGATGCAGGAGAAAGACTGTGACAGGAACCAGCAGCAGCACTGCGTGACAGCCAAGGAGCTGCAGGAGGCGTACCAGAAGGCCAAGGAGGTCAACAATCAGTCTGGCCTTCAGCTGCAGACCTGCGGCATTTTCAGTGAGCTGCATTCCATCCTCAGCCGAGACCCCATTCCCAACTGGACCACAGATACCTCCTTGGAGCCCAAGTCACAGGACCCTGCCATGAACAGTGAGGAGGAAGAGGTGGTGGCTGAGGAAGAGGACGACGAGGAGAAAGGGGAACAAGTGACCCAGGGATCCAGATGAGCAGTGAGGCACAGTCAAGCATGGGTGAGCCTGATGTAGGGGAAGGAACCTCAGGTAAGTGTGCATTTTAATTTTGAATTAGAGGGATGGCACCCCCAAAGAAGCAGGATACATCTTTTGACCTTTCTTTAATTTACTTGTGCTAGAAGAGGTAGTGGTACAATCAAGAGAGGTCAAGTTGCTTTTCATTCCGCTCTAGAGTTAGGCAGTGGGGGGACCACACAGAGCAGTTTGTTATGTTCACGGGATGCCCCGTGAATCCTCCAGAGCAGTGGTTCCCAAACTTGTTCTGCCGCTTGTGCAGGGAAAGCCCCTGGTGGGCCGGGCCGGTTTGTGTACCTGCCGCATCTGCAGGTTCAGCCGATCACGGCTCCCAGTGGCCACGGTTCACGGCTCCAGGCCAATGGGAGCTGCTGGAAGCGGCAGCCAATACATCCCTTGGCCCATGCTGCTTCCAGCAGCTCCCATTGGCTTGGAGCAGCGAACTGCGGCCACTGGGAGCCGTGATTGGCCGAACCTGCGGACGCGGCAGGTACACAAACTGGCCCGGCCCACCAGGGGCTTTCCCTACACAAGCGGTGGAACAAGTTTGGGAACCACTGCTCCAGAGACATCTCAATGAAACTTTCATAGAGGTACCCTGCAATCCTCTGCCAAAGTTTTCTAGGGGGGGCTTTATTTCTTCCACCATGGAAGGACATTTGCCCACACCATTCAGGATAACTAAGTTCAGCAGGTTACATTGCAGCACACAAGCCAGCAGCATACAGACCGGGATAGGTTCCAGGTGCCAGAAGCAGCTGTGCCATCTCTGCCTTTGTTTGTTTGTTTTGGCCATTCAATTTACTATAGTCCACAGAAAAGCAGGAAGAACACCGTTCAATATCATTACCAGATTCAGATCACTTAGGACACCTGAATACTTGAGTCTGCTGGGACAGACACTTCCAGCTCAGCAGGACTGGAGCTGTTTCTTTAAGAGAAGACTCTTATCTCCCTACCCAACTGGTGAAAGGACTCTAACTTCCTAGTTAATGTATTACTTTTGCTTTCTTGGCAAATGCTGCAAGAAGGAAGCCATTCATCTGTTGGGAACACAAAAAGATTTTTCTTTTAAACAGTGCAAGGAAAAGCTTTGAGAAAATGCTGTGGCTATTTCATAGACAGAATTAGCTGTGCGACTTGATAAACTGAAATCATTTACATTTTAAATGACTATCTCAGCAAAACGAATGAGGGCTGTTCACACCCTGAAGATTGTAAAACATTCTCAGAAGGATCAACCAGGTAGGTTAATTTAGCTTCAAAATGTCTCCTTATATCCCTTCATATATACTGCTTATTGCTTGGATATATTTTTAGTAACACAAAGATTAAATAACCTTGGGATAATTTGCCTTACTCTTTATGTAAACACTAAAGTACATTCAAAGTGATTTACATTCCAATGCTTTTCAGATTATTTTCCTAGCAATGTAATTCAAGATTTGTGCAGCATGTTGATTTAGACTTTGTTTCTTTTGCGATGTGTTTTATTCAAAAACTTTGGGCCGATTCTGTTCTCAGGGATGTCTGAGGGAGATATGTAACAAATTAACTTCCTATATTTAGGATACTGGAAGAGACTGCACCAAATCCAATTATCACTCATTTCTGCCTGTTGATGTTAACAGTTTTTTACCTCAGATATTTATTTCTACCTCTGATATTTAATCAAATATTATTAAAACATTTTTTTTCCAATTTTCATTGTTTTTCTTCTTTTTCTCCATTTAGCCAGGATAGGGGGAGAGGTTAATAAAATGCTTTGATTCAACCTGAATAGAATTCTCATTTTAAAACATTTTGACTAGCTAGTCTTATCAGGTCACAAGGTATTAGTGTAAGATTTATAATAAAATGTCCAAATTCACAATATCTGCTAATTTTCCTAAAGCTCCAGCTCTCTAGTTTTAAGATTATGTGAGAACCTCAGATTTCATTTAAGTAAAAGTACATTTTTAGCCCTCACAATTGCAGAGAAAAGTTTAGGACTATGACCTGAGTGCACTCTCCAAGGTGAGAAACCAAAAGGCAAAACATGAGAACTTAAAATGCATTATTAGTATTATAATTTTAAATCTCATGATTTTTAAGTCAATCTTATGTCTGTTTTTGGACCTGATTTGTGATTGTGTGTGATTAGTTTTTAAATTGATTTTCATTAAAAACATACTGCGAAATTGAAAAAAGTAACTAACTTACAGTTTACATCTTTTCCCAAATACCTCATTCTTCATGGGTTCTCCAATGAAATTAAGCAATTATACAGCTCAAAGGTACAAGACCAGACAATACTATACAGATATAACATATTAGGGAGGGTGGTACCCAGACTTTTGATTTTTTTTTAATATTGGGGTTAGCAGCGCTGCTGCTTTGTTAGCTCAAATTTGTTTGTTTTGATATCTACACAAACCAAGAAAGCACATCTCTTAATTTCATCCCTCAAAGTGCTGTTTTTCTTTGGCAATGAGGGTCTGAAGGAAATGTCATCCACCCTGAGTGTCTGACAATTTATTTCAATTTTTAAAATGGTATTTTTTTAAATTTAGATCAGTTATTATTACTATTTATTTATTTAAACTTGGATTTTTTAAATGAAATTAAATACAGTTAAAAAAAATTTAGTAGTCTCCTTAAAATTTGACAACCTATGTTAAGCCCTAAACTTGCTATAATCTATGAAAATCATTACAAACACATAAAAATAATATTAAAGCAGTAAATGTTTGATGCAGAAGCTTTAAAGAAAATCAAACCACCAACGCGATAGAAATCTCTGGTTTAGCACCTGGAACCACGGTTTGTCAAAGTGCTAAACTAGCTTTTAACAGCAGTAGCCTCTTTTACAGATGCAAGAGGGTTTTTTTTATTTCAATTTATTCAGCTAGCTCAGTTTAATAACTAGTTCATTGAAAGTTGAAAACTGATTGGAAACTAAAAAAGCAGGAAAGCTTTTTTTCCCCTCTTCCAATCTATGAAAGAAAAAAAAAAGATGAGATCTACCAGCTCTAAAATCTTGAACAACATGGTGACCAGAAACAACACGGTGACCAGAAACAACACACTAACTACAGATAAGAAACAAATCAGTTTAAATGTAAAGCAAGTTTTTATAAACTTACTTTTTCCCTTAATTATCCAGAACAGTAAAGGTAGTTTTTATTTAAATAAAAAAAAAAAATTCTTTAAAAAAAATTGAATTCCAATTTCCATCCAAATACAGCTTGACATAGACTTTAAAAAAAAAACTGTCCAGTAAATAAGAAATGCCATTCACCATTTTTAACATAATAAAAATGTTAAAATTAATAATCTGAATAAATGTACACAACTATAGTGTATTCTCCTTGTTAAAAAGACGTACCAAATTTAGTGTAAAAGCTATGTTTAATTGCAAATCAACATATTTTAATGGTTACCAACCAATGAGAATCAGTCCTTTAGGAAAATAACTAAAAAGTACAAATATAAAACTGATTATTTAAATCAAGATTTCCTGCTTGCTGATTTAAATCATGATTAAAATTGGTGATTTCATACACCTTGATTTACATCAGTCCACCCTGCAGACACTAGAAAAAAAACACTTAGTCATATGGACCCAGAGCCACAAAAATACTTAGGTGCCTAAACCCCAGATGTAGGCACCTAAATCTCAGATTCAGCTCCACTGAGATTCACAAAACTCCTGTCAAACCCTGTAGACGCCTACATTCCCTTAGCAGCCCAGTTTTTCAGTGTAGAATCCCCATTGGCACCTATGTTTCTGCTTCTGGGCAGGTACACTGCTGCCTGCCTCCCTCCCAGAGCAATTCACAAACCCAGAGAAGATAGGTAGGTGAATACCTGGCTTGAGTGTGGGGCCTCATACAACAGGCATGCTCAGAGACAACCTACCAGCTCAGATCCCATTTAAAGTCCAGGCAAAGGAGGAGGTGCCCACCTTATAGCTTTTAGTTGGTTGGATAGAGCACTTGCTAAGGTTGTGGGAGTCTTATGTTCAAATTCTCCACTCTCTGGCAGAGGGGAGAGAGAATTTCAACTGGGGTCTTCCTCCTATCAGGTGGGTGCTCTAACCACTCAGCTGTGGTTAGCTATTCTGATGAGGGGCTCTCTTAGTCTGTCCTGTTGAAGCTCTTCCATTGTGAATAAATAACAGAGTGATTGGAGCCAGGCGACTGGATCTGGGGTCTCCTATGTGAATAGTCTAACCACTGAGCTACAGGGTGTCTCTCACTCCCTCTCCTTTGGAGAGTGAGGCTGTGTTTGCTATGCCCTGCATGCTCTAGCAGGGTTTGTGATAGCAAGTATCAAAACAGGCACAGACTGTTTCTTTGATTTAGGGGCTTTGTTGGTTCCCCCCCTTTCTTCATGGGGTCCACTTCAGATGAGTTTAGCTGTATGACACACAAACCTGGGGTTTGCTGTGTGACTGCTGTCTCCACACTGTGATGGATGTGTTGGTGAGGGTAGGGAAGGTTATTGGCAGCATTCGGAGACTGTCTACACTACCACTTTACAGCACTCAAACTTGCTGCACTCAGGGGGATGGGTGGGATGATTTTTCACACCCCTGAGCCAGCAAATTAAAGCACTATAAAATGCAAGTTTAGACATGGCCTGATCTCCCTAGTGCAGTCTGGAGGATGCCTTTCTCTGTCCCTGGGTGACTCTATGTCCCCAGCTTCAGGGATGATGTACAAACCTTCTTCACTTTCTAGGCTCCAGTGACTTCAAGTGAAGGGTCTTGCACAGCATTGTACCAACCAAATTTTTCTGTGCACCATTTTACCCCTGAGGTGTCTGTGCAGTGCCCCTTCTGTTCTGTGTGAGACATTTTCTCCTATGTTACCCCTGTTTGATTCTTCTTTTTGGTTTCTTGCACCAGCTTTTCCATGGTTTGGGACTGGCTTTCTCCAAGTCCCTGTTTGTTCTGAGAGTGAGATTCAGTGCTTGCATGTGGCCAGTTTCCTGCCTGGCTAACTTTTTGCCGGGTTGGGCAAAACTAGCATTTCTGAAATTTCAGCAGAACAGAAAGGCCAGGGTAGAACAGCATGACTTCCGAGGGCTGTTCTGTGCACTGACTGGGGACAGGCTGCTGATTGCATTTTTTTATCCATTGATTTGCAACCTGGAAACTTTTTGGTTGACTTGGTGTGTTAATGATATTTTGAACATGGTGATAATTGTTTTGTGATCTGTGTTTAATATTTGCTTAGGATGTGTTTTGTTTTATTTTATTCATGTCTCTGTGTATATATTGTAATTTTATAACACTTTAAATTATTTTAATCTGATTTTATGTGAATAAAGGTGGTTTTCACATAATGTCTCTATCTCAGGATTGTGGTAGGTTTTGGGGTGTGCTTTGCTCTTCTGTGTTTCTTTCTGTTGGGGAAATTGTGTGTGTGTGTTTTAGTTTTGTGGCTGTGGTGGGTTTAATTTTAGGATTTATTTTGTTTTAGCAGGACCTCAGTTTGTTGTGGATTCTTAAGGTTTAACCCAGGTGTCTCAAACACAAATGACCACGAGGGCCACATGAGGACTAGTACATTGGCCCGAGGGCCGCATTACCGACACCTCCTCCCCCGCCACCCTCGGCCCCACCCCCACTCCACCCCTTCCATGAGGCCCTGCCCATGCCCCGCCTCATCCCACCCCTTCCCTGCCCCCATTCCAACCACTTCCCTGAAATCCCCACCCCAACTCTGCCTCTTCCCTGCCCCCAGGGGGTGCAGGAGGGGTGTGGGGTGTGGTGGGGGCTCAGGGCAGGGGGTTGGGGTGTGAGGTGCAGGAGGGGTGAGGGGTGCGGTAGGGGGTCAGGGTGCAGGGGGCTCAGGGCAAGGGGTTGGGGTGCGGGGTGGGTGCGGCAGGGGCTCAGGGCATGGGGTTCGGCTGCAGAAGAGGTTCGGGGGGCGGGCTCTGTCCTGACGTGCACCGGGGGGCAGGGCAGGCTCCCTGCCTGCCTGCCCTGCCCCTGCGCCACTCCGGGAAAAGGCTGGAATGTGGGGAAGCGGGGGCACTGGCGTCTGTGTGTTGCTCTCGCTTCAGGCACAGCCCCCAGCAGCTCCCATTGGCCGGGAATGGGGACCTGTAGTAACCTCTCCTTAGTCTACAAGGTATAAGGTGCTGATCATCCTGGAGTTTATATACGTCCCATCCATCACTCTCCTGCTGCCCTCTTGCCCTGCTGTATCTTAGGCTAGGTCTACACTACGGGGGGGGGGGGGGGTCGGACCTAA